ATGGTTTAGCTTATCGAAGGCAGCTGACAAGTCGGTGTATATGACGTCTGTTTGAGTCCTCTCTGCCATGTTTTCCGTAAGATACGTTGTCAAACACAGCAGATTTGTGGAAGTAGAACGACCGGAAGTGAAGCCGTGTTGATCACCACTTAGATACTGCTTACAATGAGAGAGTAGAGGCTCCATGATGACTAACTCGAATAACTTCGAAACTGCGCTTAACGACGTAATTCCACGATAATTGTCCACATCCCGTTTGCTGCCCTTTTTGTGGATAGGAAACATATGTGCGAATTTCCAACAAGATGGAAATGTACCACTCGAGATGGACAATCGAAATAGGTGAAGCATGGGCATCAGTAAGCTGGCGGTATGCTTTTTCAGGAATACGGATGGAACGCCATCGGGTCCTGGATTGAAGGACGATTTGAGTTGTGATGCGGCAGTGGAAATCATCTCGACGTTGACATCCATCGCACCCAGTGTTTGACCGTACAGTGGAACATTACTAGCTGCTAGGGTAACGTGTTCGTCAGTTAATCTCTCATTCGTGAAAAAACTGGCGAACTTCTCAGAAAACAAGCGACAGATAATGCGGCACTGTAACTACTACTATTTTAGAGGTATGATTCGTCAAGTTTACATACTTGTTTCAATTGAGGCAAACTATCTATCTTACAATTACAAAAGCGAACCTAAACTTACAATTATATGCAAATGCAAGATGAAACTTGACAAATCATCGTCAATCCCCTTATTCCAGGGCAGGGCCTGACGATTTGAATCTAATTTTGATCAGTGAACGGGCACCATATGGTACATTTTCTCACCATGAACCTATCATTTCCAGCCTATCTGAACTATTTAATAAATGGAAGCCATAACATGGGTTACGCTCCCCCTAAGCAGGCCCTCCGCATCCTGTCTCTGTCTTATCTCAAATACAAAATGCCAATGGTATGAATGTATCTATATATATAACTTGGAAATGACGTACAATCAAATAAACCCGTAACCCACTCACTTGGTCAGGCTTCAGAATCGTCCAGTGGGCAGTGCGCTCTAAACGCCAAGTTACTTTTTTTTCAAATTTACCGCAAATTTGATATTTTACTCATTGAGTGTTGATTAGTCACAATGAAACATTGTGAGAGAAGTTGAGGTTACTAGTGTATTAAATAATCTAGGTCCTATTTAAAATTATATCTGAAAAATTCAAATCTGGCCAACGCCCACCCTAATCCTAAACCTGTTCTAATCCACCTGAAATGACTAACGAATGGAAGACTTTGACTACCCAGCCATGCAATAGTCTCATTCCGTGCCTTATGGCAACTTGATGATTCTATTGCGCTCATCATCTTCTGGCACCACCCAGGGGAGACTTGGTCCTGTACCCAATGCTTAACTTATCTCCATTCCACTCAGCTACTCGCAATTTCTTGTGATATTTTTTTTTTTTTTTCCTTTGATTTGTTTTTTCCGTCGATCTTGTTTTCCGTGCTGAGCACCAATGCTACCGACGTGCCAGGAAGGCAGCTTCCACACCTGGACCCTACCTATCGACCCATCAACTCATGAACCGGGGACCAACGGCTTTACTTCCCATCCGAAGGAAGGCGTGATCAGAGATGTTATGCCTCAGAACATCCCGGCGGCACCGACTGGGATTGAACCCAGGCCTACTGGGGTGAGAGGTAATCACGCTTACCACTACACCACCGGCGCCGTTAATTTCTTGTGATATAGTGGGCGGAATATTATTATATGAGACAATTCAATGCAGACGTCTTTCCAAATTTAGCAGATCGACAGGTAATCGGTGAGTTACCACGATAGTTGCTATTCAACAACTCGACAACGTCCCATCGTCAACGCATGCTATGAGAATTTCCCATTGCAGACGCCAACGAAATTACGTCATCGAGCTATCGATCAACTACGCTGGTTATCGCCTGATACCTTATAGCACGATGCTAGGCTAGGAGGCGAACCGGAAGAATCGATGAGCTACCTCCCCCTTTACTATGAGTTGCTTTTTTGTAGCGAGTAGCTCGCGAGTAACTGCATGTACCTCAATATTTTCTCTGCCTACTCCGTTTACTCTTTTTAAGCATACATGTCTCATATTAGACGTCAGTTTTGTTAGTAAATAAAGGAATCCCAAGTGTATTGTATTAACACCCAATTCCAGCTCCGAAGGCAACGCTACAAACCATTACCTTGTGGAATGTTCAGCCAAAGCATCAGTGCAGCCGCTGCCACTGCCGAAGCCGAAGAGGAGGATGACGATGAAGTAGCTGCTGTTTCCGGTGAGTGCGATCCTCGTTTGAACTTCAAACCCATTAACGATCTACCGGACGAAACCGAAGTGAAAACCCGTCAGGAAGACGAAGCACAAATCAAGCTGACAGATTCTCTTCGTCGACTTTCTCCTAGGGACTTCGGTCGACGGCCGCAGAAAAATCTCGGTGATGTATAGCAAAAACGGGACCGAATCACGACCATCCGGTAGGCCCAGCAAAAGCACCAAAAGCGAGGATGGATGTCCTCCGTCAGCAGAACGGCACCGTGGTAATTCAGAGCTTGGTTCGCAGTTCCATCCAACGGCAGTTTGTCGAGCGATGGCACGAGATTGCTTCGACGAGTATCGATTTTGAGTATTTGGTCAGGCAGATTCAGGTTCCTTTCACGTTCGCGGTTTGTAAGGGTCGAACGAACGTTATTAAACTGAGATGATTTAAGTGTCTCCGAGTTCCGCTTTTATTGTTGTTTTATTTGACACCAGCTTTTCGGCTTCGCATGAAGGTGCACCTTCAAATGTTGCTGTGATGCAAAAAGTGAGAAAACAAATGACAGCGATCTTGCTCACTGAGCACTGTGAGTTACTCGAGGTGCCTCAAAAGTAACTCTGAAATTGCTCATGATTAGGAGCTGCCTTGCCCCTTGGTTAAAATCAAAGGGACTTTGGAAACATGATAACTGGTTTATTTAGTACCCAGACCCCATCGGCCACATTAGGGTCCATGTCACGCTAAATCGAGCAAAAATTACCCCCTCCCCCCCTATCGTGACGTTTTTCCTATACCTAATGCATTGCTTGTCACAAAATCTTAGACCCCCTCCCTCTCCCTTTAGAGCGTGACATAATATATGCATCAACCCTTAGAACATGTTATCATGAGGCAAATCACATCGATTCTATTGTTGATTCTATTGAGTATTCAGGGTGATAGTGTCACATCCAGAAATGTACCAGATGATCTCACTGAAGTGACCAAAACAGTCTAGGAGCAACACCCGTTGTGCAGTAGATGAATTTTCATGTCTTGTAAATGATTCAATCATTTGTGATTATATATTCAACTGCATACACCTCCAGTATTTTTTGGGTGTCATTGGGGCAAATTGCCAAAACCTATCATGAACCAGAACCTTTCATGCAACAAATTAACTTTCAATAATTAACAGTCATATTGCGTGTTTTTGATAATAATAATAAACTTTTGAAATACTGAAAACCTTAGTCACTTGAAAATTTACAAAAATCGTAGATGTAAATAGGGTAGAGAACTACTTCGGCCTAATCGCCCATTTTGGGCCTATCGAGCAGAACACTTCAAATAAATCCATGATTTCAGTGTTAACAAGTCTATTATGCGTTTGATACGATACTTTAGTTAATAAGCTACCGAACGAAGCCAATGAGAACGCGTGATATGAATGTTTGCACCCATTATTCCCAAAAACAAAAGAAGCGCTCCGACCGAATGAATTTTCTTCTTCATCCGATATGCCAAAGTGAATTCATTGGCGTTTCAATGGCGGTTCAATGCGTTACACCGAATTTAGAATCCGTAGGCCGAGTTTGGCGTCAAGAAGTAGTGTTAGACTTTCGACAATATCTCAACGATTGATTTATCTTTATCAAATCTTACGGTACTTACGGAAAAGTAAATAAATGTGGAAGGCATCAGTAATAATAACATTCCGTTTGGCGTTAAATTGCACTAGATTAAGAAATACGGGTTGTGCTTAATAGGCCGGAAATGGGGTAGTTAACCCTAATAGTTAATTTTTGTTTTTGAAATAAAAATTATCTGGAAATTGCATTATTATTAATGTTACAATGCGACTCCATCAAACATAAATGTCTGTACCAATGATTTCACTCGATCATCCGGAAATGCTAGGGTTGCTAAAAAAATAATCGCATAACTGAACGATGTGAATTTTCTAACAAGTAAAGTTGGGACTGATATGAGGTTATGTGCAATAGATAGAAAGCTCAAGTAAATAATTAGTATTTTCCTCATATTCGAGACATTTTTTCTTGGAAAAATTCGAGAAATTTTACTCACAAATCCACTTTTTTGTCAAACTCAACTTAATTTTGAGTCGACCTCATCGTCCGTCATTGTTGTCCATTTCAACTGATGTAGGAAAAATGGTGCTGCCTCGGGTGTATCCACCAGCACTACAACCGCACGGCGCGCAAACGGATGCAACGGTGCGCATCGGAAATTGAATAGGCGGATCCTGCTAACCGTTCTCAATATCATATTCTCAAGTTTCACGGACATGAGGACATCCGATTTAACTGTTTGCCTCTGAAGTTGAACGAGAATTTTAATGCCAATGCAAATTTTGCACCGAACGGACTGGATGGAATCGGAGAAGAACACCGTTGTTTACAAAAAGGAATGTTTTGATTTTCTCGCTCGTTGTCTTTCCGGTTCTTCACTACCTCATACCTACCTGTTCACATGTTGTCAGTTCCATCCTCCACACAGTAGAATAGAGAGTTTTACCTGTGTGCTGAATGTGAAAGGAAGATTCCTGTTTAATTGCAAATGAGTCACACTTATTCGAAATCGATTATGCATGCGAACTGCGAACACGAATTGAGCATCAGCATTTGGAGAAGCAATTCTTTCAATAGTTTTGTGGTGTTAGTAGAAGACCTAAACGAAAATAGCTTGGGTTTTAACATAGTTTATTTCAATACGGTCCGAAAAATAAATATCTGTTGCATAATTTCGATTTTACTAATGATTATCTGCTATTTTCTGCACACACATGTCAGTTTGTTTACAAACACCTTGAGCGATGAATTCGATCAGTGTTCGAGTGGGTCGACCGGCCATTCCACGCCTCAGATAGGGATAATCGATTCCTTTCGTGGTCATAACGTTGTGAGCGTCGATGTGCAGCCATTGTCCACATGGCAGGAACTCGCGAAGGAATGCCGCCTGGCAGCATGGTTCTCCACCTACGCCACGTCCAACATTCTGGATATCCACGTGTTCAGCAGCACTGACCTGTTGTGTGAAGTAATCCCACAATGGTAGCCTCCAGAGTCGATCACCAGTGTGGACTCCAGCATTCTTAATCCGCTGCCAGAGCTGTTCCGAGTTCGTATATACTGCACTGCATACCTGTCCGAAGGAATCGCTCACATGTTCCGAAGCCGTCGATACATCCACAATGTATTTTGGCCCAAAGATCTCAGCATACAGCAAGGCATCAACCAGCACCAACGGTCCTTCCCGATCTGCATCAACGACTTCGATGCTTTTGCCGTTTTTGACAGGAATCACGTCACCAGGTTTGATGGCGTTGCAACCGATCATGTGCTCGCAAAGCGGAATCAAACCACGAATATTAACCGGCAACTTAAGCGATGCGATCGCTCGGCATGTGGCCACTACGCATGCAGCACCTGACATATCACCACGCATCGTCTGCAGGTCTTGGCACGACTTCGCGCACAGGCCACCACTGTCGAACGTGTTTCCCTGGCCAATCAGCACGATCGGCTTTTCTTTATAACCTGCTCCGTAGTAGCTGAGTTCCAGAAAGATTGGCTGTTGGCAGGATCCCTTGGAAACTGCTAAGAACGAGGACATGCCCTGTGCTTCCGCCCAGCTTTTAACCTTCACTTCCACGTTGACACCTGAATTGGCCAAGATTTGAACCACATTCTGCGCAAACGTCGTCGGTGTCATTAGGTTCGAGGGCATCTCCTGCAATTGCCGAGCTAAATTCTGCGCTTCCGCTTTAATCATCCCAATACGCCACCCATCCGAATCGCACGGCAAAGATCGATCGATATGCAGCTGACAGTGTGGAACAAACATACGTTTCTCTGGCTTCTTCAGTTCCTGATTGATCCAAACACTCATGTGTGCCCCCTCGGCTGCTGATTCAGCGTGACCCATGTCTTCTACGTAGATGAAGTTGGTTTCCAGTTTCTGCAGCTCGCGGCACCCACTAGCTACGGCATTTCGAATGGCTTCTTTCGATTCGTCCAACTTCTCCGTCGAGTCATATCCAAGACAGTCGCTTCCGAGACCGCAAACGGCCACAGCTTTGTAATTTGGTTCCAGATCGTAGAAGATTCGCACCTCGCCGCGCTTCGGAATCGGACCAGCCAAACGGATCAGCTCCAGTAAACGGCCATTGGTCAGACCCTGGGAAGAAAATGCCCAATTTTACCCAAATTCTAGGCAGGAAACAACGCAAACAACTTACCTCATTATACCTTGCTCCAACGGGGGTTAGAGTTCCGGTGTCGAACGCGTCTTCTTCGTCGGCGTAGATTCCCAGGATCAAACCCTTGGACGGTGGACTGGCACACTTATCGCCGATTGACAGGGCATAGTTGCGGCGTAAGATTCCTCCGAAAGGCTTCACGATGGCCGGTCGTATCAAACTTCGCCAAACGATCATTTTACTCTGGATTTTGCTTCCCGTTGGCAATGAACAATTTTGATGAGTTTTCTTGAAAGTTAGGAACGGATAAGTTCGCTTGAAATTTTGTGCTGCTCTTGCGAGTGCTTCCCAGAGAGGTTAAAATTTGAGCGCTTCCGGCTGGGGTTCGAGAGGAAATGAAGGAAAAAATTCCATCGGTGGACAAGAAGATAAGTCATAGTTTGCTGAGATTTTTTTCTGTTGAGGGTGGGAATCACCTTGTACTATATAGGGTTGTGCCCCAAAACGTGGGTACACACTAAGATTTTTTTGCCGAGATGGGCACCACCGAGCAGCTCGGCATTTTATTTTGCTGGAAATTCAGCAAAAAATATGTTTGTTAGCTGAGATCTCAGCAAAATTCCCGTTTGTTAGCTGAATCTCGGCAAATTTTTTACTGAGATCCAGCAAAATAAAATGCCGAGCTGCTCGGTGGTGCCCATCTCGGCGAAAAAATCTAAGTGTGTAGATCACCTTTTCGTGGTACGTTACGGGATGTGTGATCTACCACCGATTCCTAGTCCTGACTACTTCAAACTAGGGGAACAGGATTTTTCAGTAATCCAAGGAACACATCTTAGTCTTTGTTACTTTTTATGCCTTGTTGACAGTGACAAGACTCGGCTTTGTCTACCGAGGATGATCTTGAAACAAGGAAAAAATTAGTTAGTTAGTCTTCATCAATGTGATTCCTAATCTTCTATTCGTTGTTCCCTAGTTTGAAGTGGTTAAGACTAGGATTCTGATGCATGGTCATTATCGGTGTCATTCCTTAATTTTGTTGCTAAGGAAACCAACACCACGGCCAAGGTATGGTATCTGTCGTCCGAATTGCCACTGCACTGTGTCCATACGGCCAAAATAACAGCAACCATGGGAACGTTTTTGTGGAGAAGACAGCCAGCGCGTGTGCCAATGCAAGAACTGGCTAGACCACGTGATCAAGGAGGACTGAAACTGCAGCTGCCAGCGCTGAAAGCAAAAGCGCTGCTGATCAACCGATATCTTCAGGAGATCGGCTCCATTCCCTTCTACAATTCCTTCCTCTCTCATACAAATCCTGACCCTCCCTCTGCTGACCTTCACTGCCTAAAAACTATCCTGCAAACATACCCTCGTTTGCCCCCCCCCAAATCCAACAAAATCAACCGACCAACCACGAGTCGAATTGCGATATCCTGCAGTGAACTGGAGGCGCGTATGGCTCAACATTAAAAGCAGAAAATTGTCATCATCCCAACGTAGCAGCTGGTATTTGCTCGTCAACGAGAAAGTTGAGCACAGACTGCTTTGTCACACCATTAGGTTTTGCACCGTCGGGGTTAACCTCAATCTGATGACAGTTCAGTGGTACTGTTTACGTGGACTTAGTCGTTTTTTTCTTGGGTAGATTTTCTCGATAATTTTTCAGACTGCAGTGAGATGTAAACCACACTTCTGCAATGTCCATGAGCAACATCCTTTCTACGCGCTGTTCCTCGACAATTTTCAAGTTGAAATTCGGAAATTTAAGAATATTTTTTTCGAAAAAACACGACTAAGTGCTCGTAAACAGTACCACTGAACTGTCAAAAAGGTTCAGCCTGAGCCACACTGAGTTCATTTGTGACGTCACGCTGCAGAACCTAATTCGGCGCGTGGACAGCGACCAGTGCTTACACTGCAATTCAGCAACGGAAACACTGAAGCATAAACTGAGTGAGTGTCCTCGAGTGACGGCGGCGTGGTCGCATTTGCAGAACGTTTTAGCGACTATCCTTGGCGGTCGGAGACCTCTCTCTTTCGAGGACCTAATACATCCAGTTTTGGACAGAATAGGCAGAAGACAAAGAATTGAAATCCTTAAACATTTTATTAATTATGTCACCTTTATCATAGATTGTGATAACGCAGTAGACGTAGGAGAACTGGATTTTCATTTACAAGTTGAAATGTAATTAATTAATCATGTCTTGTTGTATTTGACATCGTCCACACCAGAGGGCCATTCACTTTCGAATGTATGGGAGTGGTAGGAAACCATTTGGAAATGCATGAAAATTTTCAGTTTTTATTCATAATCGTCTTTATGGGCAGTTTTAGATGCACAAAAATTACACGAGTACATTACTATGGTGATAAGGTAAACACTCGTTTATTTGTTTCCTTCTGTGAAAGCATGTTTAGTCACAAATTTTCTGATATTCTCCATACTGCAAAAATGATTTTCCTACCACTGAAGGGGTGACATCTCTCGGATCTTTAGTATACACACTTAGAATTTTTTACAGAAATCTGTAAAATTTTACCGAAATCTCAACAGCTGAACGTTCGGTAAACAGTTTCGCAAATTTTCTGTAATTTTTCACAAATATCTGTGAACTTTTCACAGATATCTGTAAATAATTACAGAAAATCTGTAAAATTGTTTACCGAACGTTCAGCTGTTGAGATTTCGGTAAAATTTTACAGAAATCTGTAAAATAATCTTAGTGTGTAGCTACTGCTCAAATCATATTATTGATTATACTGTAGTTAGTTTTAAACAAAATCAACTAAATAAACTAAATTTTAAAACGTGTAAAAAAATATATTATCAGTTCCGCGAACTACTTGCCGGAGCGCTGGCATCGGATCACTTTGACGTTTCTATACATTCTATAGAACTTTTATGCAATATTGTTTGCGAGTTAGCGAGTCCCGATAGATGTCGTTACTGAGGTCCTATGTTTGGAGATACTATATTTTCAAGAAAAACTTTTTCAAAGTGTTTCGTCTGTTTGTCTGTGGTTGTATAGCAATAAGGAAATTAACTCAGCAATTCATGAAAAATATAATCTGATAATTTTTTTCACAAAAATTGTCGGTGTACGAAAATCACAAGAAAATCAGGAAAAACCATTGTCAGGCTAATGCATTTTTTTTCTAATGTTTGTTCAAGCTTCTTATCTTTCACTGGTGAACATTTCAGAGGGGTGCTCTTGCTGGTTTTAATTTAAAGCCAGAAAAATATTATGTTCCCTATTATGCAAACTTCGGGAGTGAGCATTAGATAGATGCAAAATTTAAAATTTTCGCTCCATAGTGCTCAAACGGTTCCAAATCGGATCTTGAGGAGCCTTCCAAAATTTGAACTTATATGGTAAGAAACTGACTTGGCATGGCACAAACCATTTGAAATTTTTATCTCAGTAGTGTGCACTATGCAGAATAAAGCTTTTAAGCCAAGCATAAATTCAAATACTTATACCCCGTTCACATTACAGCCCATATCACGTAATATATGCTGTCTTGCAATGAGCACTCATACCTAGGATTTACAGTGAAAACTAGATGTATGAGTGCTCATTGCAAGACAGTGTAATGTGAACGGGGTATTATCAACAATCAATACGAAACTATCGATTTAAAATTGGCTCACTACTTGACTAGCCTATTGGTCCCAAGCAAATCGATTAACGTACCCCATTCTAGTCAAAATTATAGTACTACACAATGTTTGTTTTGATTCGCTATAAAAGTTTGACAGATAAAATGAGGGGTTAGTGGAATTCCCTATGTTTCGAGGGGTGAATCGATTAGCTTGGGACCGAAGATAGTACCAGAGCTGAGCCAAAAAGTTGAGCACGTTTCTTCGGGACCTACTAGTCTTAGAGTTACCTCTATGGTATTATGTTATGATCAAGCAGCTGTTTTGTGAGAAACATTGTATTGTGCAGTATGACATAGTAGCCATGATTTTTGAGCTTTATTCTATACGTTCCAGAAACATCAAAGTTGGCTGCTGAACAGTTGATTGAGCATAATCATAGGAAATCAGTGGTTTGAACAATTTTGTAAGCGGTCATCGTAGTCGACATATTTTCTGTAATAATCTTCTTCTTCTTTTTTCCATTATTTATCGTCGGTTTCTGTTCCGCAATCTAGTGCCAATCACCGACGGACACCGATTGCCATCCATTGACGGCAATCGAATGTGCAGGAAGGCAGCTTCCACACTCGCGTAGGATATCGCACCCATTCAACACCAGACGTGACGAGAGATTTTTATGCCTCAGAAAAATCCCACCGACCTCGTGCTCAACTTTTTGGCTCAGCTCTGGTACTATCTTCGGTCCCAAGCTAATCAATGCACCCCTCGAAACATAGGAAAATTCACAAGCCCCTCATTTTATCTGTCAAATTTTCATAGCGAATCAAAACAAACATAGTGTAGTACTAGAATTTCTACTAGAATGGGTTACGTCAATCTATTTGCTTGGGACCAATAGGCTAGTCAAGTAGTGAGCCTATTTAAAATCGTTAGTTTCCACCGGTTGGTAACATCTCAGGCAAAAGTATCTTGTGTATAATCATGTCAAATAGGTAGTATCAACACGGTAAGCGCAAAATACCCAATAATGACTACAAAGTAAGCATTTTCGAGGGAAACTGGGACTACCCATTAAATTAGTAAAACTTTACCCATTTATGAGTAATTACAACTACAAAAACAAGTAGTAAGTATTCATTTTTGAGTAACAAATACTCATAAATGGGTAATATTTTTACTCATTCAATGGGTAGTCCCAGTCTCCCTCGAAAATGCTTACTTTGTAGTCATTATTGGGTATTTTGCGGTTACCGTGAAGTGAATGAAGATGATTTGAGATGATTTTGACCAGTTTGGATTGGTTCCGGAACGCGGATGTGTGAATTTCGGCGAACGGTTTGGTGGAATATAATTACATTGAGGTTATGAGATCAATGAAAGCAGGTTGTAGTGTTTCTAGTGACATATGGGCACATTGGCATCGCTTCCGGGAAATTCGTGGAATCCGGTTTTATACCCCACAGTAACATTCGCGGTATAATAATCATGTTGCATATCAAATCATGTTAGCATGATAAGCTAGGTCAATAAAGATTATTTGTGCTGATTCCTTTGGCATATGGTCACAATGGCATCGGTTCCGGGATTCTGGAATTCCATTTCATACATTCCACAATACGATACGGTAA